CTCATGTCCAGTAAGATTTGAACGACGAATAAAGGCTCTCCCACATTCTCTACATTTGTAAGGCTTCTCTCCAGTATGGGTTTTCCAATGTCCCTTTAGACTGGGTAATTGACTAAAGGCTTTCCCACACGAAATACAATTGTAAGGTTCCTCTCCAGTATAAATATTCTCATGTTCAGTAAGATATAAAGTTTGGTTCAAAGACTCGTCATATTCACTGCATTTGTTTGACTTCTCTACAATATAACTATTCTGATGTGTAAGATTGGAGCTTTCATGAAAGTAATTCCCATATGTACAATGGTTCTCTGGAAACTGAAATCTCTGATGCTTATTAGGATCTGACTCTTGTTTAAAGTTTTTCCAAGATTCACTGAAGTGATAACTTCTCTCATCATTACACGTACTCTGGGAATCAATAAAGACAGAAAGGCCTTTAGTGAGGATTCTAATTTCATTAAACAGTAAAGTTGTTCCCCATTACTCCATAATATCTATGGAACCATGATGCTTCTATAAATACCCTCCCACATTCATGAAAATTACAGAATTTGAAACAAGAAAGGATTGTTTTTTGGTGAAAGAATAATGAAAGCCTGGTTAAGAGATTGTAAAATTGAGCACATTTAGAATTTCTACCTTCATTTTTAAATCTCTGATTTTTAAATGTTTGACTGAAAGTTTAATCTAATCCTGTATTTTAAATGATTCAAATGATTACCACACCATGAATTACATAACTTCCCACATATTCCACATTTCCTTTCAAAGAATATATATCTTTAATAAACTGTTTTCTACCTTTACATTCAGAAACAAGTGTTCTACTAATATACCTGCCTTAAAGTACAGGGATTCACAACATTTCTTAAATGTTTGATCTCTTCGGAAATGAGGATTTTACTATGAGAAACTGTCTCAGTTTGGTTATGTCCATCATAACACCCTTCAGCCCTTCACACTCCCTTCATATTCCCACTCTTTCTTAAGTGCAGATTGTCAATGCCGCACCTTCCTTATCTTACCAGTAGCATATTGTGGAATGAATCTTCTATTCCTGGGGTTGGCAACAAGTCCAAGGTGTCCTCAGAAGACATATCTGAAAGACACCAACTAAATTATCTCTCTTCCTACATGCGGTGAATATACTTTAAATTCTAACATACAAATTTAATACTGATTACAGGACTTAACAAGATGGCATAAGAGGAAACACCAAAACTCCCACCCTCCATGGAGACATGAATTCAGCAACAATTAATGACCCAATTAGTTTTCTGAGTACTCAGGAACCATGTTCAGAACAGCAAACCACATGAAAGAGTCACATCAAAGAGGGAAGAAAAGTTGCTTATATTTGCCAACAATTCTGTGCACCCTCTCTGGCACACATGGCAATGTTGTGAGAAAACCCCAATTGCCAGTTTCTTCTTATAGGAAAAAAGATGAGTGAACTTCGTGTCCCATAAACTCGCTTTGTGCAGCACCCTGAGGGACTCGTTTATCTTCTGCATGACACTGAGTGCTAAGGAAATGGCAGTGCAATGTGAATGCATTGTGGTGGCCACTAAGAAAAATGGTAAGTAATTGTTCAAACACCACAAAGAGCGCAGTACTGAAGACAAACATCAAGGATAGGAATATAACACTGCCTCTAAAGAAGAAACGAAAACATTTCAAACCGGAAAATTACATGCAAAAGACACAGAGAATACACATCTGCAGAACCAGTTTGATAGGCATAAGAATTTCAAGCTCAGGTGCCTCTTATTTTTGTTCGCTAGTACAAAGCAGGTCCACACAGCCTGGGATGGTGGCTGCTTCTTCTCCCAAACCACAACAAAAGATCACAACAAACAAACAAACAAAAAAAACAGAAAAACATAAACCAATCAGAGGAACAGACTAAATCTTGAGAAATTAGCCCAAAACAAACAGAGCTATAACCTGACCAAGAACTCAAAATACACTGTCATAACCTTAAAACTTTTTAAAGTTACCCCTAAAGTAACCACAATAAAATACCTAAAACAGACACACAAAAAGAAATCTAGAGAGAAATGAAAGCATGCCACTACTAACCAAAATCAACAAAAAAATAGCACACAGTTCAGAGGGGAGAACATGGGACAAAATAGCTACAAAAAGGGCAGAAAACAATTCTAAAATGGTTACAGTAGTCTCTCCATCTCAGTGATTACTTTAAATGAAAACCGATGAAACTCCCTGAATCAATAGACATGAGTTGCCTGAAAGGATAAATAAATATAATCCAGCTGCCTTCTGTCTACAAGAGACTCACTTTAGATGTGGGTTCACAAATGGGACCGAAGTCAAAGAATGGGAAATGTATTCCATAGAAACGGTCACCAATAAAAAGCACGGGTGGCCATAATGATATCAGAAAAATACACAGTAAGTATCAAAACGTGTCAGAACACAAAGAAGGACACTATATAATGATAAAATGGTAAATTCAACAGGAAGGTATAGCAATTATATTTGTGTAAAAAGTGGTGTAGCCAAAAACAACATGAAACTTCCTAAAAAATTATAAATACAACTATCATATGACCCAGCAATTCCACTACTGCCCATTATCCAGAGAAATCAAAAACACTAATTCAAAAAGTTATCTGGGCCGGCCGAGTGACTCGTTGGTTAAGAGTTGTCGTGGGAGTGCGAGATCTGAACAGCAGGGCCACTGGTTCCAATCTCACATGAGCCAGTGAGGCCGTACCCTCTACAGCTAAGATGGTGAACAACAGCTTGACCTGGAGCTGGACTGCTGTGAGTCGCCGGCGACGGTGTAGGCTGCAGTGAAGCTGCAGTGGGCTGCTGTGAGCTACCATGAATGGCCGGCAGCCCGCGTGAGTGGCCATCCAATGGTGGGCAACCAATCTGCCAAGCCAGGAAGAGTGCAATGATCACAATACCAATATGAGCCAGTAAAGCGATGTCCTCCACAACTAGACTGAAGAACAGGACAGCAACTTGTCTGTTCCCCTTCCCTGATTCCCCAATGCTGTTCCCTCTCCCAATTCCCCAATAAAATTGTTAAAAAACAAACAAAAACATATCTGTATCCCTACATCCACTGCAATATTATTTACAACAGACAAGATATATATGCCCATCAACCAATCAATGGATAAAGAAGATGTGATAAGTGTACACAATGGAATATTTCTCAAGAGGAGGAAAACGGAAATTCTGCCAGTGTCCACGTCGTACATGGACCTAGAGGGTATTAAGCTAAGTGAGATAACACAGACAGAGAAAGTCTAATGCCATAGAATTTCACTGATACATAAAAGCTAAAAAATAGAAACAAAAGAAGAAATAAAAAAAGATTCACATGGGCTGGCCTAGTGGCTCAGTTTGTTAAGAGTTAGCTTAAGAGCACGAGCTCTGAGCAACAGGGCCGCCAGTTCGATTCCCACATGGACCAGTGACACTGCACCTGAGCTGAGCTGCCAACAGGTGGCAGGATGGCTCAGCTGGTGAGAACACGTGCTCCTAACAACAAGCCTATCTGTTTGATAGTGGGCTACACCCGCCCACAACTTAACATTGAACTCAGCTCCTTCAGCTGAGCTGCCACGCCGATGGGTCACTGGATAGAGCGTGTGCTCTTAATAACAAGGCTATCGGTTCGACTTCTGCGTGGAATGATGGCTATGCCTACCTGCCACTAAGACTGAACTGAGCACCTTGAGCTGAGCTGCCACCTGGACGGCTGAGTGGATAGAGTGTGTACTCTTAAGAACAAGGCTGCCGGGTTTGACGCCCGCATGGGATGGTGGCTATGCCCACCCGCAACTAAGACTGAACTTGACACCTTGAGCTGAGCTGCCACCCAGATGGCTCAGAGGATAGAGCACACTCTTAACAACAAGACTGCTGGTTCGACTCCCACATGGGATGGTGGCTACTCCCACCTACTAAGGTTGAACACAGAACCTTGAACTTAAAGGCCACGAGCAGCCGATGGGCAGCCAGATGCTGATAGGCAGCCAGATGGTGATGGGCACCCTCCACAACTAAGATTAAAGAACAACAACTTGGCTGGTGTCCTGCCCCATTCACCAAATCTGTTCCCCTCCCCCAATTCTCCAATTAAAAAAAAAAAGAAAGTCTCACAGATACAGAGAATTAACTGATGGTTGCCAGAGAAGACAGGTCCATGGAAAAAGGCAAAAAAGGTGAAGGGGAATCAGAGGTATAAATGTCTAGTTATGAAAAGTCTAAAGTACAGGATGTAATACAGCTTAGGAAATATACTCAATGATATCGTGATTCCCTTGTAAGGTGACAGGTGTTACTTGAGTTGTATAGTGATCACTTTATAAGATAGGTAAATAAAGAATCACCATATTGTAAAACTGAAACAAATATAATATTGTATGTCACCGGTACTGTAAAAATAGAAATAAACACATACATGAAACAGTTGATCCCGTTTTGGACCACAATAAAAAATGTGATAACTCTTTTGACAATTTCACTTTTCCCAACAATTTTGTATTACCATTATAATGCAAAAACCACCACTATGCTTTACAATGATGAATGAATTAAAAGATTCCATTAGAGTTAACCTATACTACTGTCAGGATATTTAAGGAAACCTCGTCTCCATCAACACAAGATTCATTATATATTTATTCCAGAAATGAACACATACCTAGAATTGGAATTTAAATGTTATTATATATAAACTTAATTTCATACAGTTCGTGTTTTTTACAGGACAAATTCTTCACCCAGTTTCTTGTTTCAAATCGTAGTATTAATATTAACTTTTGAACTCCCATGTTTCAAATAAAATATTAATGAGCAAAAACAACAAACGAGTCATCGTCAAGAGTACAAACGAGAAGTCCCAGTCTGGGAAGGAGAAAAAGCACAAAGAAATACCTGTAAAGGTCTACTATGCAAAACACACAAAGACGTCTTCAAACTGATCAATGAGAAAACTACCAACCTCATTATATTATGGGCCATAGCCCTAAACAGACACCTCACTAGACAAGACATACAGAAGACAAAATGATATGTAAAAAGATGTTCAACATCATATGTCACCAGGGAAATGCACATGAAAACAACGATGAGAATTAAACACACAGCAAGTTAAACAACATGACACGCCTATTAGGAGGGGCCAGAACCCAGAACATGGACAACATCAAGTGCTGGTGAGGACGTGGAGCAGCAGGAACTTGCACTCACTCCAGGTGGGAACAAAAAATGCTGGAGCCTCTTGGGTACACAGTTTGGTGGTTCTTACATATCCTCTCATCATAAGATCAAGCAATTGTGGTTCTCTGTAGTTACCCAAAGAGTTGAAAACGTTTATCCACCCACTAGTCCACACGTGTGTGTTCACAGCAGCTTTATCCATAATTCAAAAACTAGGAAGCAACCAAGATGTGCCAACAGGTGAATGGAGAAGTAAACTGAGGTGCATACAGAAAATGGATTATTCAGTGCTATAGAGAAAGAAGATATCAAGCCATGAGAAGACATGGAGAAAACCTAGATACATATTAAGTGAAAGAAGCCAATCTGAAAAAGGCACATAATGTATCATTCCAGCTATGACATTTCAGAAAAGGCAAAATGATGAAGACAATAAAAATATCACTTCTGGCTGGTGTTTGCACGGGAGAGATGAACAGGTGGAGCACAGAGAATATTCAGAACTGTGACACTACTCTGCATGACACGTCATCATAAATGTTCCACACGCTCAGAATAGACAGTCCACAGTGAACCACAAGGAGAACTATGAACTCTGCGTGACAATTATGTGTCAATGTAGCTTCATCCTTGTAACAAATGTACCTCTGGGGGTAGAAGGGACGTGGACAAGGGGGAGGCTGTGCATTTGGGAGAGACATGTGGGAATTCTCTGTAACTTCTACTCCATTTTGCTGTGCCCTAAAAGTGCTCTTAACATAAGTCATCCTCAGGCTCCTGCTTCTCCTAAATATCTGTTCTCAGGTCCACATGTCTTTCCAAGTAGTTTGACATGCTCTTACAAGAACATAAATGTCTGCATCACAGTTAAAAAAACACTGTTATCTCTGCACA